TAGTGCTAGTGCTAGTGCTAGTGGTAATGGCAGTGGTAGTGGTAGTGGTGGTGGTAGTGGTGGTAGTAGTAGTAGAAGTAGTAGTAGTAGTAGTAGTAGTAGTAGTAGTGGTAGTAGTAGTAGTCGTCGTCGTAGGAGTAATAATAATGATAATAATAATAATAGTATAATAATAATAATAGTGGTGGTAGTAGTAGTAATAGCAGTAGTTAGCAGCCGCAGCTGCCGTGGTAGTGGTAGTGGTAGCAGTAGTAGTTGTCGTAAGAGTAGTAGTCGTAATAGTAGTAGCAGTAGTAGTAGTAGCAGTAGTAGTAGTAGTAGCAGCACTAGTAGTGGTAGTGGTAATGGTAAGTGGTAGGTGGTAGTGGTACTCGTGGTGATGGTAGTAGTAGTAGCAGTAGTAGTGGTCGTGGTCGTGGTAATAGTTGTTAGTAGTAGTAGTAGTAGTAGTAGTAGTAGCAGTAGTAGTAGTAGTAGTAGCAGTAGTAGTAGTAGTAGCAGCAGTAGTAGTAGTAGTGGTCGTGGTAATAGTTAGTAGCAGTAGTAGTAGTAGTAGTAGTAGTAGTAATAGTAGTAATAGTAATAATAGTAGTAATAGTAATAATAGTAATAATAGTACTAATTATAGTAATAATAATAGTAATTAGCAATAATAGCAATAATAGTAGCAATGATAGTAATAGTATTTTTAGCATTAATCGTAATAGTAGTAAAAACCGTAATGGTCATGCTCTACCTGTCCACGATGGGGACCTGGCTCGCTTGCCCCTGGTTACTAACTATCGACACCTTGGTGTCAGGTGGTTGCCACGTTTATGGGTGAGCTCTGCCGCGAGCCACGTGTGCGTCTGATGGGTTGCTTTTCGCCAAGGCCGGCTTCAAGCGTAAAGATGTCGACGTATTGCGGTGGCGCGCAGGGGTGCTCTGCTGACTTCCATTGCCCTTCCCCGGATCCTTAAGTGAGCCCGCAGAACTCAGCCTCTACCACCGTACAGCCGTACAGTTAGCACGGTGTTCCGGCAGGTTTTTGCGTGCCTCGGCACGAAGATCATGACATCGCTGGCGCAATGGCCTGTCCTCTCCTGCGCCTCCCAGACCCGCTCACTCTTGTGCGTGTGGAGCGTCTCCGATATGTCCGCCAGCTTGTCCATGCCGGCCCTGAAGTTTTATGGGCCCTTGTCCGGCTTCGTGGGTCCTATCTTGGGGAGCTCAAGCAGCCATGCTGCGGCTTTACGCCCGCTTGAGGGATACCGCTGCCCTTGGCGAGACCATGGCCCATTGGGACCTGTGGGTTGATGTCATGAAACATTCCCAGGCCGCTTCCGAGTGGATTAAGCGAGCCGTCGCCCTTGACGTACAGAGGCCCTCGGCCTTTTGCGACGCTTCAGACACGCCGGCGCTACCTTGCTGCTTTCTGCCGCGAGCCAGCTCGTGTTGCAGATGCCGAGTCGCCCCGCTGTCTGGAGGCCTGCTGACCTTGTCGCAAAAGCTTTGTCGGCCGCGTCTCCTGGGCATGTCATGCCAAAAGGCTGCACAGCTATCGCACTAGGGCGAAGGAGTTGACTAAGGTGGTCTCCCAGGCTTGGTGTAACGGCTGTGGTCGGTTCTACGCTCATGCGGGCGTGCCACCGTCTCTGCGGCGACGGGCAGGCCCCCTGCACACCCGATTGCGCCTCCCCCCCCGTCCAACTTTCGGGACGTCATCTCGCCTCATACTCCGCCCTATCCTGGTCTTCTGGATGCTCTTGTTGGGCTTACCAATGACGAAGATACATCAGCTTGGTGCAGGACTTTATTGCTCCGCATCTTCGAATGGTTGAGGCCTGCCGAGACCATCCCGAGGCCCAGCCTTTTGCTGGCGAGGTTGCCGCCAACGTTCTTCTCATTCTCGACCCGGCCCTATGTTGTGACGTCTTCCAGCAGCCTCGTGTCGCTCCTCTCCGTGGACTTTCTTGCTCCCCCCGGTCCCTTGCCTGGGTCGGCCTTGCCCTTCGTCCTCACTGGCGATACCGTGACTTTGGCTCTGGACCCTCCGCCGTTCCGTTGCCCAGCTACGTCTACCCTTTCGACGGTAGTGCTCCCTTGGTGCATGCCGTGCGGCATGTAGCATTGCTCGAGGCTTCCTGCGAGGTTTACTCGCAGCTGTACAAACTGCCGTGTGTCGGCCCGCAACTGTACGCGCCTCTGATGCGGCCTGCGGTGCCTCGAGCCTTTGGCTACATGGGCGGATTTTCTCGGGGGCTGACGGACTCGCCTCACCGTGTGGCTGATGTCCTCGCCTCCCTGTTACAGTTTCATCCTGAATTCAGCTGCTAGGGTCGCGTCGTACTCGACTCAAGCCTGTGGAAGAAGAAGAAGAAGTAGTAGTAGTAGTAGTAGCAGCAGCAGCAGCAGTAGTCGACGTAGAAGCAGTTGCAACAGAAGGCCACTTCTCTACTCGCATGATTATGCTTCCATTGCGGAACACTGAACGTCCTTATCCTGTCTAAACTTCAAGCAGCCCCATGACGACCGGCCCGCCCCGATCGTGTGAAGCGTAGCAAGGAGGTTCAAAGCACGACTCCAGTATCCGTCCTCTTGAGGATGTCTGCAGAGTCCGAGTGGCTTCATTTAACACTATACGAATGAAGGTTCCATCTGTGGGACCGTTCAGGATAACTGAGTGTCCAGAGTCCGGGCCACAGGAGTTTCTGTTTTGGGTCCGTTGTTGCCAGAGCACCTTCTCTCCCAGGAATTACACAAAACCGGAGTGGTGACGATGCAAATTTCGGTGCGCATTCGAATATGCAAAGAGAGCTCTCCCTTTTTGAATGCTGAAATCACTCGAACGATGACGCGGGCTCGAAACATAACCCTGCACCCGAGATCGTTTCGTCCTTCCCCATGCATGAAAGCAGGGCGTTGTAGTGGAAAAGGTTGATCTCTACCTCACCCAAAAAGTGGCCCGGCCCAGTGTTCACCGCAGGGACTGGAGGCTGGAGTTTGGGGTTTCTTCTTTACAGCTGAAGGGTTTAAGAGCATGGCCGCGCGCTCATAGGGTTGAATCAGGGCTCGCCTGCTGTCTCACGGTACCTGGGCTGCCGAGGGCGCGTTGTGCGTCCTCGGCAGCGCATAAAACAAGTCGTAACAGAAAGTTGATGCTGTCACTTTTGGGCTTGCAGTTTCGAGTTGAAGGTGCCAGCTTCGAAACAGAATGCTAGAAACTTGACAATCCTCAACCCTACACCCTCAACCTCTAGCCACTCCAGATAAGTTCTGAGCCCTAAATTTGCGCTCAAGTCATGATTTTTACCTGGTTCCGAAACTTCCGAGGTTACGCTCTCACAACTCGGACATGCCAGGCGAGGTTCTTGGTGCGAAGTCGGCGTGAAACGGGAGAAGGAACCCCCATCAGAAAAGACCAACTCCACGCACCAAACTTCCGAGGTTTGAGGTTTGGGGTTCAGGGTGTCGGCTAGCCCCCAAATTGGGTTCGAGCAGCTTTGCCGGTTGGCCGACGGAACCGGTAAACCAGAACAAGCACAGCACGACGCATGCAGTTCAGAGGCAGTATCGACTAGAAGTCTAGCTGAGATCACGCAGCCCAAACTTTACACCCCGAACGCTCAACCCTATCAAACCCCGAAATCTGAACCGCAAATGCTAAGCCCGAAATGACAAACTGCCGCGTCCGCCTTCCCAACAAGCATGGCGCTGATCAGGCTTCCCGCGGCATCGGAGTGCAGCCTGAGTTTGGCTTACCACACGCAACCGGGCAAGACCAGGCTATGGAGTTTGAGTGTGTGGGATTGTCTCCCTCTCGCATGGCTAAGGATCTGTGCCCACAAGCGAGGATGATGAGTCATGGTTTAAGGGGCTTTAGGTTTGTTAAAGGCTTTGGGGGTTCATGCGGGGTTTACAGTTGAAAGGTTTGGCTTCGGGGCCCGACCCTGATGTTAAATCAGCGAGGTTTCCAGCTAAGGCAGCTAAGGGCTCTTAATCACTCCCTCCCCCCCCCCCGCTTAGAAGCAGTTATTCGCGGTTATTGCAGCTGTGGGAGCCGGCTAAGGAAATAGGTGGCCAAGCGAGGCTCTGCCTGCCAGCTGCCGAGATGCGGCGCTAGGAGCTGCCTGCCAGAGCCATGGCACATGGAAGGCCTACGTAAGGCGGAAGTTTCTCCGAGGTTTGCCACAACTACCCGGCAAAGTTGGAAAAAAAGCTTATAGGAGGCATAAACACCCAACAGCCACCCAACAAAACGTACACGCGCGCGGCCACGCGAAGAAAAGGCCGAAGACCACTCGCTTGGCGAAAGGCGCAACTATTCTTGCAAGCTTCGGAATGTCGTCCGCGGCATCCTGGAGCTGCCGCAGTCTAGCCTCCTGAACAGGAAGGCTTGGCAGCTGGGTTTGGGGGTTTAGGGTCAGGGCTCAGGGTTTCGGGGTTTGGCTTTAGCACGCCGGCTGAAAAGATTCAGGGCTGAGAAGACAAGACATCGGGTTGAATCGGTGCGGAGTCCAGCAGGGTACCGGTGAAGGCTACACCGCATCCACGGCCTGGCTTGTTGCTTCAGCTAGGTCAACGGCATTGATGAAACCTTCGCCGAGCCTCAGAGCACACACTTGCCACACTTCCCAAGCTATCGCTGCCTTCGTCTGCCAGCCGTAGATCTGGCAGGCTCCGCGCAGCCGCAACGAAGAAGGCATTCATGGCCGGCAATGGAGGCAAGAACCCAAGGCTTCAGGTTAGCTCCCCGAGCAGCCGTTGCGTTAGTAGTACTGCTGGCTGGCGATGAGCGTGCGATAATCTCACACAGCATCTGCCAAAAAACATAGCAGAAGTAGAGAGATAGAGAAAGACAGTGAGAGAGAGAGAGAGAGACAGAGAGACAGAGAGAGAGCACGGGAGCAACATCCAAGACCAGAGAAACAACTACTCATCACCTACATTATCGACAGCTTGCCAAAAACATGGGCTTTGGGTCTCCGGACCTGCGGGCTTGGCGTGGTCGCCTGCTAGGCGAAGCTACGTCCCCGCAGTGAGGCAGACGCTCTAAATGCATTTGCAGCTTTAGCCCTTTGGCGAAGCTTTTTGTTGACCAGAGCCCCTCAGCATTCGATCTTGGGGTGAGCCCCAGGGTAAGGACTCTTCTTGAAGCTATCAGTTTCGCCTGGTCTTTTGCATGTTCCCATGGCATATCAAAGTCAAGCCAAAGCTGTCTAGCCTCAAACTTTCGACTCGCACGCTCGCACAGGGCAGAGTCGGTCGATTATAGGGAGCCAGGTAGAAACCCCTAAAACAACACGTCAAGTTTCAAGCTGAGCCCAATGTCGACCCTTTGACGCCACATACGTTAATGGCGTGAAATTGGTTCTAAGACGTGTTGGATGCCGACCGAGGCAGGCACGCCAGTCGATTCTTCGCGTGCTTGTCCATCGTCTTCCTTGGCCGTAATTGCATGCAACCCTGACACCGGGCCAGAATTCACGTATCCATGGATGACCGCTCCTAAGCGCAAACGAAACCCACTTCCTGAGAAGCTCCAGTTTCCTAGCTGAGACCCGGAATGCGTCCCGGAAACACCACCAAGCGAGAGACTGACGCTGATCCCGAAGGCCGAAAATAACCCCTAAACAAAATAGGCACGCATCTCCAGCTAGACGGAATCTACAGCCACAGGCCTAAACTGCTAAACCCGCCGTCGCCGGCTAAGACAAGGGCTTTCCCGTGAGGAATCGGATGTTCAAGTGGCGCAGCGTGCGAAATTCGCCTCAACTCCCAAGACACTAAACCTTCACATGGAACCTCTACCTCTTCCAGCGCATCTCTTCGGCTTTCGGACTTGCAGAGCTGCTTTGGCTATCTGGGGCTGCCTTCGTGCGACTGCTGGTGCTGCTTCTGTGCAGCCAGAACCTCCGTCTTAGGACTACAGGTGTCACCACCATTGAAAAGATTGGTACTGTTCCTGCCGATATCAGGACACCACCAATGCTTTGTAGCGTCGCTGAATGATCAACATACTTCGCTTTTACCTTGAAAGCCCTACCCAAATCGGAAACCCCACATGCGCAGCACGGCGAAAGAAAAGAAACACGATGCTCCCTCAAAGGCGATCATGGGAAAGTTGGCAACGGGAACGGGACCAAAAGCAGGTATTCGAGCACGGTCCTTTGAAAGCGGCGGATTCTCTCCAATCTCGGCCGCGCAACGGCTGGACTCCAGGAGCTCGCCCACCTCCGAACGACCCGAAACCTTCGTTTTCCCCCCGAAACCCTTCGGGAAGTCGTCAGAGCCTAGAGGGAGAGCCAAGGAGAGAGCGCCGACGAGCCTAGGCCCTGGGCAGAGGCCTTGACCCGTTGCTCGCACTTCTGAACGTCTCAACAACCCCTCCAGGGCAGAAGAGATCGGATGAAGCCCAGGAGCCGCTTTACGGATCTCGACTCGAACTGGAATGCACCCACCCCGAACAGCTACACTTGCCCGACTGGTGCTAGCTTCCAAAACCGCCACAACCCTTGCTGCTCAAAGGTGCTGTGACTATTGTCCAACGTGCTTACGCGTTGTAGCGCTACCCTCATAGCGAAGGCTACCTCGTTCATGTTTGTCACTGTCACTGAGAGAACGGCAGAAGAAAGGACCAGGATCAAACAGGGAGAGCGAAGACTCGCTCGAAGGGGGGTTCCAGGGGTTGCTCTTTGTGTTCGCGACTGAACCTGTAAACCCCGAACCCCCAAGCGGACCGAGAGTCGGGACAACATTCCTAAGTATTCAGAGCCCTCTATCACCTGAACCTGCACTCTGAAACTGCAAACCAAGCCAGGCCACGAGGATGATCTGAGAATTCCTTGGCCCCGCAGGGAAGGCCCAAATTAGAGGTCAGGTCCCGTATCGGCATTGATGGGATCCTATGCGCATGTGTTTCCGAAAGTTCCAGTTGGTTTCGGGCTCCAAGATGTATGGCTACATGTGCTTTAGGATCCATTGTGAAATGAGAACGGCTTGGGGTTGAGCGTTCATGATGTCGATGTAGGCGTTTGTGGCTCTTCTGCTTCGGGGTCTGGCTGGGGAAGGTTTCGACTCCTGCTTCGAGGTTTGGACTGCAGGGAAGGAAATACATGCTCAGGGACAGTGCTCTCATGGGTTTCGGATGTACTGGACTCAAGACCTGGCGAAGCGAGGCTGCTGAAAACAGCAGCCGGTGTTTGACACCAGGTGTTGTTTCCTTGCGTGACCTGCGGGTGCATGGAAAGACCAAACATGGCAATTACAACGGAGGGGCTGTTGTCAAGATGACCTGGCTCAAACTTAACCAGCAATGTTGCGTACTCCGCTGTACCAACTCTGAATGCCCCGGTAATGAACTCCAGGAGGGGCTCTGCAAGGTGAACGCACCGGGAAGTGCGCGGACCAGGTGACGCAAAGCATTGAGGTAAATACCTTCGTTGGCGAGAAAGTTCGAACCCGGAATCAGCTTTGGCCGAAGCGCTCAGAAATTACCTTTTCCTCTCCCAGAATCTCTCTCCCCGTCTCTCTCCCTGCCGCTGGCCCTGCCCCCGGCGATCCCCAAGCTAAACCCGGAAAGCTCCCGGAAGGTCAACTTCTTCGGGTGTCTGAAATGCGTCAACGACCACCCCAACCTTGCATTTAATAGACACAGCCCACGAATTGCATCACACTGCTTTACGGTAGCCTACTCGGCTCCTGCGTTTTGGCAACCTCTCAAGCTACTCCTGCCTTCAGGGTTTGGGGCCTATCGGACGTGGGCTACAAGTTCGGGATCAGGCTTCATCCGGACAAGTGGTGTCGGTCTACGTGAGACGAAGCCAACGATGCGGGCCCCTTTGCCTTCTGTACAACATTAATCCGAAACAACACCTCGACGCAACAAATTTACAAGCCGACATCAACGAAACGAATTACCCACAACGCATTAACGGTGAGTTAGTATCTTACAAACGGTCGGAATGACAAGTTTGGTTTGGCCTCTTTACCGATGTCTTTGTGGTTAATTGGCATTAATTGGCGACGAAAGTCAACGAAAGCTGCATGGAAACAAAATGATTCGTGGCATGGCCTGCTTGTCAAACCGAAAGGGTGGTTTTGACTTTGACACGAGGAACAAAGGCGCATTGAAATTTCACATCAATACGGGACATAAAGTATCTGAAAGTCTTCAACAGCCGTACAGTCGCAGGTTCCACAAGCACAGAGTCGGCAGCTTCACCTCTGGCAACATACTTTCCTTCAACCAGAATCGGAACATTGCAGTTCGTGCTCCACAAAGAACCACAGCAATTCAAGCCAAGACGTATACTGAAAAGTACCTTTCTTAGGATTTCTGCTCGTCGGCGGCCGACAGTCCGGCTGTCTCACTTTTTCAAGTTCCGCACCCGGCGAACCCTGCTCTCCAAAGCCCGAAAACGCGATCCTAGGGTTTAACAACCTGTCGCCGACAGCAGATTAGCTTTGTTGTCCATGGTTCGGGGATCTGGAGTTGATCACAGAAACCTGGAAAGCTACCCGGGGAATTCCCACTGCAGACTTAGAAAAATCCATAGCCTGCAGGGCTACTTCTATATCTGCAGCAGCGTTAGGTACATGATTTTCAGCCACTGTTTCACGCCATACTCATTTCTTGCACGCAGCAGCGCCATGGTCTGATGCACCACACTTCTCGCACTCGTGCTTGAAACAGCACTCATCCCCCCTTGCGCACTTCCCCTGCAAAATCCCACTTTGTACTTCTTCTCCGCTTTCGGGTGACGTGGTAGCAGGCGTTTGCGCTTCAGCCCGACATCGGTGGCAGTGGAAGGCTTGCCGGTGCCTGCACCACCTGCATTCTGAAGGCTCTTCGCTAGCTTGAACGGCTTTGGCTTGCAAGTCAAGTGGATGCGCAGCAGATCATCTTTCACCACAGATAACAATGCCCGGTCCATGGTGATGCCCTCATATGCCATCTTGAAGACTTCCCCCATCACCTCTCGATCTGCCATCTCGGCCTCAAGCGCTGTCGGCATTCGAAAACCCTCAGCTGCAGGTTTCGTATAATGACACACGAATTTTTGCACATACTGCATGCAGCATGACAGGTGGCCAGCGCCACACATACTGTACGCTCGCGCACGCACAGTGAGAATCGAAGTCACGCGAAGTGGAGCGTTCGACAAATCCAAGTTTTTCCAAGGAGCCCACTCCCAGGCGCGAGCCGAGCACTGCGTTTTGACACGTGATAGAAATCCAAGACAAGGAAGTGTTGCTCCGCTGAGGACTGTTCCCGGATAGTTTTCCTCGAACCTTTTTTTTCAATTTTTCGCGCTCCCCAGCATCAAGACGGGATCCTGACCCGGACAGGGGCAGCAAGGAAAGGCTCGAAGGGGCCCTG